TCACACAAGTAATCAAAGTCTGCACTTTATGGAATTCAAAAAGAATACAATTAGGACAAAAATAAGTTAAATAGAAATTAGGAAAATAATAGAATTAATGAAAACAAAAGTTGTGTCTTTGAAAAAAATAAACAGAATTGACAAACCTTTAGCTAGACTGACAGAAAAAAAGGCTCAAATTGCTAAAATCAGAAATGAAATCAGGGACATTACTAACAATATTACAAAAATTAATAAGATTATAAGATAATGGTATGAACAAATTAGATCACATAGATAAAACAGAAAACAACAAATTAGATCACATAGATAAAACAGAAAAATTCCTAGAAACACACAAAGCACAAAAACTGATTCAAGAAGTAATAGAAAATCTAAATACATTTAGAATGAGTAAATACCTTGAATCAGTTAAAAACTTTCCAACAAAGAAAAGTCCAGGATCCAAAGTCTCCACTGATAAATTCTACCAAACATTTAAAGAAAATTTACACCAATGCTACTCAATACTTCCAAAAAAATAGAAGAAGTAATACTTCCTAACACATTTTAGGAGGCCAGCAGTACCCTGACACTGAAGCCAGACAAAGACTCACAAGAAAATTACAGACTAATATCTCTTATGCATATATACATAACAACTTCAATAAAATACTAACAAATTTATTCCAAGCAGCACGTTAAAAGGATTATATGCTATGACCAAGTGGAATTTATCCCAGGAAAATAAGAGTAATTCATACACAACAATTAATCAACATAATATACCACATTAATAAAGCAAAGGAAAATATCCACATGGTCATATCAATTAATGTGGAAAAAATGACAATATTCAACACATTTTGATAATTTTAAAAATACTCAACAGATTAGAAATAAAGGGAACTTTCTCAACACGTTCATAGGAATTTATGGAAAATCTATAAAAACATTATACTCCATGATAAAAGACTGAAAACTTCCTCCACTAAGATAAAGAACAAGACAAAGATGTCCCAATTTTGTCACTTTGACTCAAGATTATAATGGAAACCCTAGCCATAACAATTAGGCAAGAAAAACAAATAAAAGGTACCAAATTGGAAAAGAAGTAAAATAATTTCTATTCACAGATGACATGATTCTATCTATATATATACAAAAGACTATAGAATGTACAATAAATCTACTGGAGAGAATAAATGAATTCAGCAAAGTTGCAGGGTACAAGGTCAACATGAAAAATCAGTTGAATTTTTATGTATCATCACTGGAATATTCAGAAAGAAATTAACAAGACAATTCCATTTACAGTAGCATCAAAAAGAAAATAATCTAGAAACAAATTTAACCTAAAAGGTTCTTGTGCAGAAACCTAAAAAATGTTGCTAAAATAAAAATAAAAAGACCTAAATAAATGGAAAGTCATCCACTATTCTTGGATCAGAAGACTTAATACTGTTAAAATGGCAATACCTCCAAAAGGAATCTACACATTTAATGCAACCACTATGAAAGTTTCAATATTTTTTAATGGAAAAATCTGATCCTCAAATTATAAAACTACAAAGGAACACGAATGGCCAAAATGGTATTTTAAAAAAAAGTCAAATGGTTTATACTTTCCTATTTCAAAGAAGAAGACAGGGATAAATTTTCATGACCTCAGATTTGGTAATGATTCTTAGACTTACCAAAAAAACTAAACAACAAAAGAAAAAATTAGATACATTGGACTTAAAAAATAAGAATTTTTGTGCATCCAAAAACATTATCAAGAATATCAAAAGACAGTCTACAGAATGGGATAAAATATTTGCAAATGATATAAGTGTTTACTATCTAGAATACATAAAGAACCTTTATAATCCAACAACTTAATCCAGTTAAAAATGGGCAAAAGACTTGAATAGACATTTCTCCAAAGAAGATATACAAATGGCCAACAAATATAGGAAAACAAGTTCAATGTTATTAATGATTAGAAAAATGCAATCAAAATTACAAACCCACTAGGATGGCTGTAGGAAGAAAATAATGCAAGAAAATAAAAACAGTAGAAAACAGAAAATTTTGGCAAGGATGTAGGGAAAGTGGAACCCACATACTTTGCCAGTGGTAATGTGAAATGGTGCCACTATTGTGGAAAACTGGTAGTGTCTCAATAAGTTAAACATAGAATTATCATATGGCCCATAAATTTCACTTCTAGGTATATAACCCAAATAACTGAAAACAGATTTTCAAACAAAAACTTCTGCATGAACAGTTACAGACCAGGGGAGGATGGGATTGGCAGTTGAGGGAAACTGCCAGGGGAGGGGGTGGCACACCTGCATAATGAACATTTGTATACCTAATCCTGAATTGTACCCCACATCTTTAAAATAAAAATAAAAAAACAAAACAAAACCCAATAGCTAAAAGGTAGAAACAGCCCAAATATTCACCAACTGATAAATGTATAAACAAAATGTGTTATTTCCAGACAATGAAATGCTATTTAGTTATTAAAAAAGAATGAGGTACTGATACATGACTTAACATGGTTAAAACTTGAAAACATTAGGCTAAGTGAAAGAGGTCAGACAAATACAGACCACATATTGTATGAATCCATTTATATAAAATACTGAGAATAGGCAAATTTGTAGAGACAGAATGCATATTAGTGGTTGCCACTAATCACAGTTTAATGGGTATGGGGTTTCCTTTTGGAATGATGAAAATGTTCTAGAACTAGATAGTGGTGATGGTTGTACAACATGTACTAATTGTCACTGAATTTTACACTTTAAAATTGTTAAAATGGTACAATTTATATTGTGCATACTATACACTTTTAAAAAGTATCTTAAGAAGTACTTTAAAAAGCAATCAGCACAGCTAGGACAGAGATAACAGGTGTCAGAATTATCAGACATGACATTTAAAATAACTATGATCAATTGTCTTATAAAGAGAAACTGAATAAAGCTTGGATTTTAGTTAATAATAATGTGTCAATTTTGGTTCAATAGCTGTGACAAATATACTATACTGATGGAAAATGCTAAAAATAGAGCAAACTAGATAGGAAGATATGAGAATTATCTGTACTTTCCTCACCACCTTTCTAAAACAAAAAATTTATTTTAAAAGTAGTCATTTATGTGATGACTATTATGTCAAAGAATCTAGGGGAAAGGGTATATAATATGCATAAACAAATAGGGAATTTCAGTAGAGAGATTAAAACTATAAGAGTTAAGTAAAGAAATCCTAAAAAATATTTTTTAAATGTGATAACAGATATTTGCCTTTCATGGTCTTTTTATTAGACTAGACACAAGCGAAGAAGGATTAATGCTCTTGAATGGAAATCATCCGAACTGAAACACAAAGAGAATAAAGAGTGAAACACTATAAGAACAGAATATCCAAGAGATGAGAAACAATACTGGACAATCTAACGTGTGCAGTCGGAAACCTTATAGAAAAAGAGAGAGGGGGAAAAGGGCAGAAGTATTCAAAGAGATAATCAATGAGAATTTTCCAAAAATAATGACATATCAAACTATAGATTGAAGAAGCTCAGAGAAGCTCAAGAATCACACACACACACACACACACACACACACCTCCCTTCATGTTTAAATTGCTGAAATCAAATTTAAAGATAAAATCACAAAGGCAGAAACATTACATTTAGAGTATCAAAAATTTCAAAAATAGCAGAAAACTTATGAGAAACTATGTAAACAAGGAGAAAATGAACATCTTTAAAGTGAAAAGAATGAGAGAGAACGAATGAACCAAAGAATGAACCTGGTAATTCAGCAAATTTAACAAAACATCTCTCAACAATGAAAGTGAATTAAAGAGTTTTTTAGAAAAAAAAAAGTGGAGAAAATCCATTACTAGCAGACTTGCACTTCAGTTGAGTTAAAGAACATTCTTTAAACAAACGGTATATGATTTAAGACAGATTTTTAGATGTACATAAAGAAATAAAGAGCTTTTGACATAGTGAAAATAATGGTAAATAGAAAATACTTTTTCACAGTGTTTATTATTATAAAACATAATTGACTAAAACAAAAATAACAATATATTTTGGGTTTATAGGATTTATAAAAGTAAAATGTGTGGCAACATTAGCATATAATTCCTAAATAGTACAAAATCATCAAAGATTTATGAATTAAATAACACACTTCTATTTTTTTTTTTTTTTTTTGAGTTGGAGCCTCACTCTGTCGCCTAGGCTGGAGTGCCGTGGCATGCTCACGGCCACCCCAGTGTCAACCTGCTGGGGCTCTGGCGATCCTTCCGCCTCAGCCATCCAAGTAGCCAGAACTACAGGCACGCGCTACCATGCCCGGCTAATTTTTGATTTTTGACTGTAGAGATGAGGGCTTGCCAAGTTGCCCGGGCTGGTCTGGAACCCGCAGGTTCAGGCAATCCACTCATCTCGGCCTCCCAAAGTGCTGGGATTACAGGCTGAGCCACCAAGCCCGGCATAACACACTTCTAAATAACCTATGAGTAAAATAGAAAGTCTCATTTTCTGTTTTAGGGAAATTAGAAAATATTTTAAATGCAAAGAAAATTTTAAAAATACTAAAATTCATAGAATACAGATAAAATAAAACTCATGGGGACATTTATAACATTACATGTTCATATTAGAAAAAAGGAAGGTCTGAAATCAATTAACCAAGTTTATCTAAAATTACCTTTAGGTAAATAGTTAGGGCCTGATGAAACTGTGGCATATTAGAATGACATTTAACTCTGTGGTCCTGAACGTCCTGTACCTTAGAGTAATGTGGCAAGCTTTATAAAAGAAATACTTATGCGTAGGGGTAGATACTGGGCACATTTGTAATGTTCTTCAGGTAATTCTAATGTGCAGTCACAGTTAAAAACCACTGATTTAACTGAATTAAAATTATCATGGAAATGAGAGAATAATGTAAAATAATCGATACAGCAGGTAATATGTTGTTCTTTTCTCTTTAAAAAAGTCTAATTACCCGAATCACAGAATTCAAGTCTTCAATTATGTTCTTGTTGATGAGAATTGCATCAGAATACTCCAGCACTAACTGAAAATTCTCCAGTTCTACTTGTCCTTGTTTAAGAAGAATTTGGATTGTCAAATTCAAATGGAATTTCACTTTCTCTTCCTGTAATCTAAATTGAAAAAGACTTCAAAGCAAGTAGTTGTAATATATTTATATTTCAAATTTCATCTATTATAAAATTCAAATCAGTTTAAAGAAAACATGCTGGATTAGAGTGGAGAGTATTTTTCCAATGATGAGCTTCCCTAGAGGTCTTTCTGAAACCTCTACCCATTGACATGGAATTACATGTGGACTGCTTAAAGAATGGTATAGATAGAAATACACTTATAAAATTTTACTTTGGGATTAAGAAAATATTTTATCATTTTGATTATAATAAAAGTAAGGAAAAACGAAGAAAATATGGATGCTAAATAACAATTCTATTAAAGTTCTGGCCTTATTTATTGATTTCTGATACTATATTAACAATATTTTATCTGTATGCTACTTATCAAATCTATTTCTGGGTAGTTCATATTCCTCTTTGTAGACTAGATCTAAAAATGATGAATAAACAATTCATTTGGGACCATCAAAGAATTATTCATGAATGCGGCTGTAAATATAGCCAAAAAGAAAAACAAGTACTTAGACGAATATCCCAACCACTCAGTAAAACAACAAGCTCCCCTAAAGAAAAAGATATGTTATTGAACATCTGCTTAATTTTCCACACAGTTAGTTTATATGTCTTGAGCCCAAAAGTACTGACTGGCAGAAACAGATTCTTTGCATTTTTATGTGAAAGGGTCAGACTTAAAAAATACTAAGAATTTTCTAAAATGTGTTTATTTATAATAAGAGCAATGGGACACGTGGTAAAGTTCCACCCAGAATCAAGGTCTTATCTGATCAGATGCACTTTTTAAAAGAGAAATTTTAAAGCACAATGCTGGGATCGAGGTAGCTAAATTTGGGCTAGCTGTAAACCAGTCAGCCAATAGGCACCCCAGTTTAGACTTTGAATAGAAGAACACAAAAGAAAGTTTCAAATTACAGGATGAGTTCATGGAACACTTTCTCAATCTCCTGATGCACCTTTTCATCCTCCTCAACTCTCTTCCGGAGAAAAGCCGTCATTTCCACTAAGCCAGCTGCTTTCTGCTTTACCTGAAGAAACCGAACCACAAATATCTCAGAACATATGAAACTTTAGAAAGCATACACCTTTTAACTTTTTACATTTAAAAATCTTAGCAAGTCCATCTTTCTAAGAAAGTAATAAAATTTAAATCCTTTTCATTATGTAATATACAATGTCTAAAACTTACAAGGTACAGTCTGAATAATTTGAAAAGTATCACATTGCTTCTTAGTGAAAAGCAAGTGTGCAAGCAACTAGAATTTTTTTTATATCTTTAAATTTGTTCTTATCCATCTTAGGTGAAATTATAAAATCATAGATACTTTAACAAAAATATGCTAACCTGATACATGTGGCACTGAATGTAGGGGAGTGCTTGAGAAGTAACAAGAGCTTCGAAGGATTCTCTTCCCCTGAAAAAAGTATTAAATTTCTACCCTTTGCTAAATTTTTTTCTATTTTAGCAAAGCTATAAAGTTGGTTCTGCTGAGCTAAAACATAATTTTAATCTATGCAAAATGAGATCTACAACAGCATTGTCCAAGAGAAATATAACGTGAGCCATAAATGTGAGTTATATATGTAATTTTAAATTTTATAGTAGCCATATTATAAAAAGTGAAATGAAACAGATGAACTTAATTTTTACTAATATATTTTATTTAATAAAAGATTCCCAGAATATTAGCATTTCAATCTATAATCAATATATAAATATTAATGAGTTTTCATCTTTTTCATATTAAGTCTTCTAAGTCATTGTACATTTTCTATTTATAACACTGCTAGAGTCCAGCTCCAACAAGAGAGTCAGGGCCTAACTGGGGAGAATTGGGAAGCTGCGAAAAAGAAAAGACGAAGACGACAGGAATCCTCTTCCTGGGGAGAGCTCAAGACTCTGCCAATTTTTATTCAATTCTTACAGGCTTATATAGTTTTTCACTGATCCCTCTACCCACAAAATGTATCCCATGTTACACATTAAATGTTTACATCATGTTTTTTTCTTTTGTTTATGGTGAAGTTGACCTTTACAAATTTCATTTTGTTTCTTCCTGCTACCAGGTGGTGTAACAAAATACCAG